ATATCCCCAGAGGAACCCACTTCCCTCTTGGCCAGACATCAGTGGATGAAGACCTCAGGCCCATGCAGGCCTCTGAAACTGCCCCCAGGTCCCTCTCAGACCTGACGTCTATGTCCACAATAAGGAAAGAGAGACACTCATGTCCTCAGGTCCGCATCCCCAGAATGGCAGGAACCCCAGCGTGGTGGCTACTCCTGCTTCGGGGGCCAGTCCTGGGACAGGAAAAGGGTGGCTGGTGTTTGCTGACACATGTGGACCCCATGTCTGGAGGGGGCTGGGGTGCTGTTGGAGGACCTGGGCTGCCTCTCATGAGCAGGGACAGTGGAGAGCCCTGTTATCTTTTTTGGCAAAGTCCCACTCCTGCCCCAGACGTCATCCTCACCAGGTGCCCTCAGCCAATCACGGTACCAATTGTTCCCTTGGACTTTGCCCTGCACCACGAGAAGCGTGAGTATTCAAGAAGGCACAGGAGGCTGTGTTCACTGAGGGCATTGCAGGAAGAGGCTGGGCCTGTCTTGCTGCCCACGCAGGGCTTTAGGATAGCCTCACTGAACTAAATTCACCACTACATGACACCCACTGATCCCAGGACTCGGTGGCTTTGAGTATATTCAGACTTTTACACCCAAACCACAGTGACACTAAAACATTTTCATTGCCCCACCTCCTCAGTCATCACCCCAGTGACCCTGTCCCCTTATAGCCCTGCGAAAGCTCCTTTCTTTCATGCAGATGGACCTGTTCTGGTCATTTTGTGTGGATGGATGGATGGATTCACATGCTGTGTCATCCTCCAGGTCCAAAGGTCTTTGTCAATAGCCATGGATTTAGCCATCTCTGCAAAACATTTAAAAGTTGTGCGTTTATAAACAGAAATATTTGCCTACATGCAGAAAGTTGGCAAAAAAAAATTACTTGCTGCAACATAGTGTGTTTTTCTTTCTTTGCTTTTCTTTTTTTTTTTGAAACAGGGTCTCCTTTTGTAGTTCAGACTGGCCCTGAACTCACTATGTATCCCAGTCTGGCCTCAAACTTGCAGCGATCCTCCTGCCTGGGCCTCCCAAGTGCTGGTATTATAGGTGTGTGCCACTACGCCCGGCAACATAGTTTCTAATAGTTTAAAAAAGAGGAAAACAACTCAAATATGTAACAAGAGCAGGCTATTAAAATGCATGATATCAATGAAATGCAATTTTTAAAAAACCAAAATATGTGCATGAGGTGAACAGAGAAAGATATGCTACTACACTGACCAAAGAAGGAGCTGGATACACTGAGAATTAAGATAAAGATTTGTAGAGTTCCAAGGACAGGAAATCAGGTTATTCAGAACCACTCACAGCCCTGTTCCTGGGTAGAACTGCACAGGAGTTTTACCTTTGAAGTTAATT